CTCCTATATTTATTCTTAGTTGCTCTCCAAGCTCTGTTTTTATTGTTTGGGTTTTTCCTCAAGGGAACCTGTTTATACTTGCCCTACTTTTTTTCCGCCTCCTCATGATCATTATATGGATTTTATTTTCCAGCGAATTAGTAGTTTATATAATTTAAATTCATTGGAATTTATCTCTGTCATCCTAAACAATTCTGTATGTTATATTCACAACCCTTGACAAATTCCAACCTTTTGTATATAACTTTCAACTTGATTTACACACCTAAGATAAAAATGTGTCATTCATAATTTACCAAATTTTTGTAGAAAATTCTTATAGGAATTAACAGCAAGATTGAAGTAAACAATGATTCTTTCAATCTCTTCTCTCTCCTTTATCTCATAGTCACTCTAATTTTGGAGAAAATGAAGCTGATATGGGGGAAAAATAGGGAATTTTGACAGAAACATATGCTCTTTGAGGTCAGAGGATACTCTCATAACTCTTGGCAATGTTGCTAATTGCTATCGTTTTTTAAGATTTTCCTTAAATAAATACTCTGGGCTGGGCGCGGTGGCTCAAGCCTGTAATCCCAGCACTTTGGGAGGCCGAGACGGACGGATCACAAGGTCAGGAGATCGAGACCATCCTGGCTAACACGGTGAAACCCCGTCTCTGATAAAAATACAAAAAATTAGCTGGGCGTGGTGGCAGGCGCCTGTAGTCCCAACTACTTGAGAGGCTGAGGCAGGAGAATGGCGTGAACCCGGGAGGCGGAGCTTGCAGTGAGCTGAGATCGTGCCACTGCACTCCAGCCTGGGCGACAGAGCAAGACTCCGCCTCAAAAAAAAAAAAATCTATCTATCTATCTATATAGATATATACACATACATACATACACACAGTGCCTTGGAATTTTAACATACTAAATGAAAGAACTATAGAATTTAGAATGAAGGGAATGCTAAGTTGGAAGAGTTAAGATAATTTTCAGTGACATATAGTCAGGGAATGGTTTAGGTGCTAGGAGAGAATCCCTTAACGAATAGTTTTGAATGATTTCATTACTTGAATTTTACAGTAAGGTTGCTGTTGCAAGGAAAAGATAAGTAACTTTGTTGTTAGTAAAAGAGCTGGGATGATAATATAATTATTTAAAACTTAAATACTCTTTCTACTATACCACTAATGTGATATACAGGTCTCTTGAAGAGTTGCAAAAATATTCTGGCCTGAATTTAGTTTTATCTGTAGCTATGAACAATAAATAGTATTGTTTTTCATGTTTCCAATCTCTATGTAAAGGGTAACATGCAACCTACTCTTTTCCTTCATTGTTGGTTTTAAGGTGCATCCATTTTGTTCTTTCATTTCCAATAGCTATACAATATTTCATTTTGTTAATATACAACAATTTATCCATTTTTCTGCTTGTGAATATTTCCAACTGCTTTCCATTATTTAAAAAAAACACTGCAATAACCATGCTGTGTACTTCCTTATACACATTTGCATGAATTTCTCTAGATATATTAAATTACTAGGTTGAAGAGTGTGGTCAATCTCAATTTTACCTAATATTGGCCAATTATTCCCCAAAGTAACTCTATCAATCTATACTCTTACTTGTCATATGTAAGAATTTACATTATGCTACAATCTTGCCAATACTTGGTCTGTTGAGACCTAAAAATTTTGCCAATCTGATGAGCATGAAATGGAATCAAATTTTGGTCTTAATTTCATTCCTAGTTACTAGTAAGAACAAGTACTTTTCCTTATGTTTATTAGCCATTCAGGTTTCCTCTTCATGTAAGTTGCCTATTAAAATCCTTTGCCCACCTCCACCTTTTCTTTACTATGGACATTTTCTTTAAAAGAATGATCTATAAATGTGTCCTTTATCTGTTTTAAGTACTAATCCTTTGTCAGTTATACAAGATACTAGTATCTTTTCCTGGTCTGTGGCCTGTGTTTTCACTTTCTGTGGTATCTTTTTAATTTCAGGGGAGCAAATTTATCAGCTTTTTCCTTTAAGACTTTTACTTCTTTTGTTTCTAAAGAAATCCTGAGTATTTTCCTGTATTTTGTTTCTAAAAGTCTTCTCTTTCAAACAGTTTTGTTTCTGTAACTTTTTAAACCTTCAGAGTCCATTTTTATTTATAATATAAAGTATGGATCAAATTTTATCATTTTCTAAATGAGTGAGCAATTGTTTCAGAATTATTTATCAAATAGTCCTTCCAAGTCCCTAATTTGTAACCAACCCTACTTTTGTCATGTGTCAAGTTTCCGTACTGGCATAAGTTTGTTTCTGGACTTTCTTTTGTGTTTCATTAGTCTGTCTTTCCCTAAACCAATACCATGCTGTCTCAGCTGCCATCGTTTAATAATAACAATAATAATATTGTGACACAGTGCAAAATATGGCCCCAAATTCCTCTCCTAATATGCACCCCTTTGCCAAGTAAGCTTGGCTGCTGCTTCCATCAGGAGGTGGAGTTTCTTTTCTACACCTTGAACTTGGGCTGGCCTTTTAAATTGCCTTGATCAATAGAATGTGGTAGAAGGAATTTAAGCAACTTCTGAAGCTAGGCTTTAAAAGGCTCTGCCTTCTAGAAATGCTGCACTGAAACCACCAAATAAGGAAGCTCTCCTAGTCTACTAGAGTATGAGAAGGCATGTGAAGGACTGAGGTACCTCAGTATGAGGTACCTAGAGTATGAGAGGGCACATGAAGGACCGAGCTAGCACCAGTTGCCATATATGTGAATGAGGCCAGGATGGACCTTCCCTTCTAACTGACCTAGTTGAACGTAGATGCAGAGTGGGTCTGAGTAAACCAGCAAAGGACCTACTAGGCAAACCACAGAATTGTGAGAAAATAATAAATTGGTATTCTAAGCCACTGAGTTTTGAGCTAGTTTGAGCAAATGCTAACTCAAACTCATGTACCACATATTTGAAAAAAAAAAACACACACACTTTGGAATATTGGTTGAAATTGCATTAAATTTTAAAATTTGATTTTGGAAAGTCTGACATTTCACCATTAAGTTCTTCTTTCATGTATTTTTCCACTTCTCAAATTATCTGTGTGATCATGACTTAAATATACATTAAGTACATTTAAGTACCATTTAACTGGATTTTATTTTTTCCTCAGTCTGATCATCTCTATCTCTTAATTGGTAGGATTAATATGTTTACAATAGTCATATATTTGGTGTTATTTCTATTATTTTACATTTTTTTCTCTTTACCTTTTTTGTTTACTTTTTCTCTATTTCTGCTGTGGATTGTATATGTATTTTAGTGTTTTACCATCTACATTTAAATGCGTAATTAAGTGTAAAACTTTCTAATAAATTCTTAAAGTATTCAGTACTGAACACAGTATGAATTTTAACACATCATATCTAATTGAATTATTGCTGTTTAGATTTTCAGCTTAAACAGAACATTTTGCAGTCAATATTTAAGTTACTTTAAGTTAAATTTCACACTAAAATTATTTGTTAATTTGGGGTTCACTATTGTTTTAGGTGTTCATTACTTTCTCTCTGGCTTTACTTTTTACAGAAGTACATGTTTCAATATTGCTTTTATTCAGGCTGTATGTGAGTGGTGAATTCTGGTGGTCTTTGGGTTCCTGAAGTATCTTTTTATTGCTTTCATTATTGAATATTTTAGATGGCAATAAAGTTTGAGTTTAACAATTATTTTTCCTCATCAATTTGAATATATTATTTTACTGTCTTCTGACATCTAGTGTTGTGAATGAGAAGTCTGCTGTCAACATGGTGATTATTTTGGTAGAAAATATGATGTTTTATCTGGTAACTTTGAAGATTTTCCTCTTTAATGTGGATATT